AATCTAAATCCCATTAAGCCAATAGAAAGTTTGCTTGAGAAGAGAAAAAATGTGGCAGAATTTGGACTACAACAGATGTTTATTTTGTAACGTGTAACCTCTAAATCAGGAAAATGAGTTTGTGTATCACAGCTTGTTTGAATACAGATTAAATTGTTTTCCCTGACACATGATTATGATTTTTTCCTTTCTTTTTCCCCGTTTAGCTTTATGGTTTTTGTTACTCTTAGGTAAATGACAGTTTCATCTGTTAGAAGAACTGAATTAGTTCTGAAGTAGTTTCAGACACACAGTATAAAGGCAATAAGTAATATTACAGATCTGACTTAAAAGCAACAGTATTCCACTGAACTGAAAATTGCTGCATCTGCTGGGAGCTGAATTAGTGCTAGACTCTGCTTAATTTGTATAAGTTCTGTTAAACTGTAAGCCATGTTTATAATGTTTGTGTTTGAGGTTTTGCACATTGAAATTCATTTGTAGAAATGCATGTCTTACAAAATCACTGTTGCCAAAGAAGGAGACTCTGATGCAGTGATGGATGGAAGAGGTCAACCTTGCAGTCGGATTGGGTGATTGTTATAGGTCCCTTCTAACGGAACTATTCTATTCTATTCTATTCTGTTCTGTTCTGTTCTGTTCTATTCTATTCTATTCTATTCTATTCTATTCTATTCTATTCTATTCTATTCTATTCTATTCTATTCTTCCTACCTGGAGTAAAATTATACTGTGATGATGATTAACCTGAGTGACTGTACAATTGAATACTAGGAGTAAGATGTTTTGCCCACATTTTGATAATACCTATTGTTTTCCATAATGAATGCAGGATTGGGACCAGTTCGTAAGTGTACGGTCTGTTTTTCCAACAGTAACCTTTGCTGTGCATTTACAGTCGCTAGCAGAGATAATCTGGATATAGTTTGTCCAGTTGGCCTCATCTCATTACCAGTCACAAAGCTGTGAGTTCTCTGCTTAGCTCAGTTGGTAGAACTCTGTGCTGAATAATTCTGTTTATTATGCAGTTAAATTGCATTATTTACAGACTATTAGTTATACATGTTAGAGTGGAAAGTTTTATACACATTCTCTCCCGGCCTAGCATGTTGTTTTGGTTGCAAATGAGTATTACTTCTACTCATTTACCTCTGATTTTTCTGTATGCTGATGTGACATGTAAAGGCCATTGATAAGTAACTCCCACAGACTGTACGGTGGGCGGCCGATTAGCCGGCCAGGGCACACATTCATATCTGGTGCACATATGCTTGATTTCATAACTGTCTGCCAGGATTTCTGGGTTGCAGTCACAGCAAAGGAAGAGAGTAAAAGTGCTCTCCTGCCTGAATCAGGTCAGTCATGTTTGTACATGTTTTTCCCAGGTGCTAAGCTGCATTTTGAAAAATAGCCTAAAAACACACTTAGGATGCTAATTTCAGGAGCATTGGAGCCTGTGGAGGCAGATAAAGTCCTAAGCAGAGTGTGCCAGAAAAGCCCTACCTAGAAGCATCTCTTTTGCTGTTCCAGTTATTTGGTTGCCAGTAGAGCAGATACAGGTCTGTGTATTTATAAAAAGTAAAAGTTTGATCTAAAACCAATAAAGTTATTAAAATGTTGTCCACGCTGGAAAAGTTCAGAGCCGTTGTCCTGGAAGATTGATGGATAAAAGTAATTTTGCAGTGGGAGAACTGATCTTTGCCTGCTTTCTTTGGGAATCACAGTTAGTGACTAAATAAAGGTATTAACTTTCTTTAAGTTGCATGTATATCACTTGGACAGTGTCCCCCACCTTCAGGCTGACGGTTGCATTGTTTGTACAGGATGAACATTAACACCACTTTAGATTTCAGTGTGGCAAATCAACAGGTGATAAGATCTAAGTTGCTGTGTGTAAAAAGAAAAAAAGAAGTGAACCAAATATGCCAATTGTGTCTTTTTAGGCTCTGAGGAGCTAGGAAGTGGAAGCTATGGGCATCAGTACATCACAGACACAGCGACTAGTGATGATGATGGATTTGATATTGATGACTCAGACTACGACATTTACATAGAAGAGGTAAATTTCAAGATTCCACTTGGGCATTTGTGTTTTCTTCATAATCTCAATACTTTAAAGTGTCTGATCTTGTCAGGAAGTTTAATACCTGATACTATATGCTCAGATATAATCATATGGTTGTTTCTTTTTCTTTGGTGAGGATGAGTTTGTAACCTCAGATCTGTATCATGGAGGGTATTCATTTTATTTCTACATAACATTTTAGATTTTACTGAATTTGTGTTTATTTCTTTCCAGCTCAGACCTCTTCCTGCTATCAAAGGAGGCAACAGAAAATTTCTGGTCGAAACTAAGGTTACGCCAGGGTCTAGTTCCAGGCTCCTGTCACGGGTCCTTACAACCACGTCTGAAGCCACTACTTCCACTCCCACCACCACACGGCCTTCAACCACAGCAAGAGCGACTACAGCTCGGGCAGCGAGGAGGGGCGGCACGTCTTCTGCAACGCGCCTCTTTGATCTCTCCTGTGATGAGGCCATCTGTTCTGCAGACAGCTTTTGCGTCAATGACTACGACCAGGGTGGCTCACGCTGCCACTGCAACTTGGGAAAAGGAGGAGAGACATGTGCGGAAGGTAGGTTTCTGCATGCCCACTGCTGCTGGCTTCTCTTTGCCTGAGGCAAGGAGCAGCTTCGTGATGAACCAACCAAAGTGCTCTTTGAGAATAGCCAACTGGGCTTAAAGGATCCCTAAGGACAGCAGCAGCTTCCATGATGCAGTTCAGACATCAGCCCCTTTGCTTCTCTTGCTTCAACTAGGTGTGAAGAAGTTATTCTTTAATAAAGCTGAACACAGACCCTGTGCAAAGGTGCAAAGGGGAGGTTAATCCTCCTTCCCCCACCTAGGAGTGGGAGGGTGGTGGAGCCAGGTATGTTTGTAAGCCCCCAAGCCTACAGAGTCCAGCCATGCCATCCACAGCTTCCACCAGGGACATTCAGCCCCTCTTTGAACATTGCCTTTTGCCTAAAGCTGAAGCCCTGAACCACCCACATTTCCAGCGTGGTCCATTGGATGATGCTGATCCTGCAGCAGGCATGTGAGACAGACCCCCTTTGTAAAACCATCTCCAGAGTAGGCTTTCCCCATGGTCTGTAGGGCAGAAGTGCTGGAGTACTAGCCCCAGCACTCATGTCAGGCAGCCTGGGGCAAGGGAGGAACAAAACCCCCTCCCCAATTCAGAAAGCATAACCTGAAGCCTGAGTCAATGTAAGGAGGTGTGGTTGTCCCAGTCAGGATCTGCCACGCATCCTTTAGCCTCTCTGCAGGGCAGCTGAGCCAGGGCAAGAGGTCACTGAGCTGCAGGAAGCCATCCTGCTGCTCCCTTCCCTTGCCACCTTCCTGTCCTTTCTCTCTGCAGACCTAACCTCACCCTTTCACTGGGTCTGATGTTGAGTTGATCACCTGGTGAGCCAGTCCAGCTTGCTTATCAGGCCATAAGCAGGTCACTTTCCCCCCCCCCCGGGGTTGTTTTTCTTCTGGTTTGGTAACCAAGCAATCAGATGAATGCCAGAGCTTGTGCAAAGAAAGTGTCCTGTTGCCTGTACTGATGCTGTCCCACCAGCTAAAAAAGAGCTGGTCCATCCCTCTGCATGCTGATCTGATCTGCCAATGCCCTGCCACACCGCCGCGCATCAGGGACACATATTTCTTCTGCAGGCTTGCGTTAGACATTCATGATGCAGTGTTGTGTATTGGGGCTACAGACACTGAGGGGGTTTGATCTTCTCCTCTCGGTGCTGGAGTAAAGAGGGCTTGTTCTGAAAACAATCTGTTGTGACTCAGCCACATGGGACAGCTGCAGATGTGATTTTTGGCCTTGATCAAGTATGAAGAGAATTTATTTAAAATGACATAGCTGTATACAGCTTGTAGAGTGGGTTTGTTAACGTCAGTCCAAACCCACCATTTTTCACAAGGGAATGTGTTATTCCCTGGTAAGCAGTAGCATCATGTACCAATATTGCCTTGTATTGAATTTCTCCACAGCAGCCAATATTGTTAAATAGTATATTAATCTGAATGAAAACAGACGTTTCTTTACAATCAACAGCTGCATGGCGCTCTAGTCCAGTCAGTTCTGCTTGTGATCAGGGCATGATTTAATTGCTGTCTGCTGTGGTTGCGTTCAGGTTTATAGCAGTGATTCTCTTCACCTCAGCCTAAAATGTATGCCTTGCAAACAAAAAAGTGGAGAGAACTATATTCAGATCCAAATATGCAAGAAAAATTCACTCATTATTCAAATAGCAAAGAGGAATAGGACTCCTTCCTTCCTTCCTTCCTTCCTTCCTTCCTTCCTTCCTGCCTTCCTTCCTTCCTTCCTTCCTTCCTCATTAGACTTAAATCCACTGCAAAAATAAGAATTCAGGCCTGAAATTGTATCTGTCCTAAGTGCTTCTTAGGAAAATGAGCTGCACAGGTAGCAGTAAGACATCTCTTTGATTTTCTTTTTCTATGCTGGAGCCGGGATGGTCCTCTAACATAAGACAGCAAGGGATGAGGACTGATAATGCCAGCTGACAAGAGCAATGCAAAGGGCCACTGTTGTAGCCAGGGATGGAGAGATGCCTGCAAGGACCCTCTTCTCCCCAACACTCCCTTTACTTCTGCCCTGAGCTGACTAAAGGGAAGCGCTGGAAGCTGCTGGACTCCTAGGAGCCATCCAAGAATTCTGCAGATGCTGGACGCTGCAGCTATGGAGTGGCACTGACTAATGCGGTGTGGAGTCTGGCCACATTTTCTGCATATGTTTTTATAATCCTACAAAGCAGAAAACTACTTTGTTGCCTCTGTGTTAAATGAATTCTTAAAAGGAGATAAATATAAAGTAGATGGGTTCGTTCTTCTGTAACAAGAATGAAAATCTGGAGAAATTTCCACTGAAACCGACGATTAAACTGTTGAGCAGTATTTGGCCCTCGGTATCCTGTTTCTTTCCAAGTTCACTAGGTCCTTGGGAATAAAGGAATTAGTTGTGAAAGGTGGTGGGAGGACAAGACAATAGGTTAACTGATTGTTGACTGCTGCCAACTAATGGTTGTCTCTGGAGGAACTCTGTCTTGCATTTTCACCTGATGTTATCTAGTGCTGAATGTGTATATTGATTTTTCTGTCGGAGAAAACTGCTAAATAACATGCTTCTGCATTTGCTTTTCAGATATTGTTATCCAGTATCCTCAGTTCTCTGGCCATTCATACATTACGTTTGAACCACTGAAAAACTCATATCAGACATTTCAAATTACCCTTGAATTCAGGGTAAGTTTAAGCAATTCCAATCTCACAAAGTAGCTTAAAATTTTATTTGCTTAATCTGCTGCTGTGGACAGTAATAACTTAGCTTCAGTATAGCTTATAACATAATTGTGCTGAGCCTGTACATAACCTTCATCTCTAAAGATCTGGCTTCACATTCAATGAACGCAATTCGAGTTGGTAAACTGAGCTAAAATATTTGCATCCATTATTGGTGGTCAGTGCATGTGAGAGTCCCTGGGACTAGTAACACTGGCGTTGCAGACTGGTGGCAATGTACATTGGCAAGGTTATAGCTGCCACGTGAATGAGCTACAGGCTGAAGCACACCTGGACGTTTTGTGAATTAGAGTTTGGAAGTGGCATGTATTATCTTTAAGAAACTGTGATCTTGTTCTTTCACTGACCGAAATATTGCCCTGTATCTAGAGTTTCTTTCCTACCCTGCAGGATTTGAGTGGGCACCTCTGACGTTTGGCACACTGGCTATTTATGCATGCAAGATACTGGACTACTTAAACTACAGGCCTGAAGTGGTGGGATATATCCCACAGTGACATGTGTTAATGCTGTCTGTGTGTTACGGACAGAGCTGGTAGGGCTGCCCATAGGGAGGATGCACCCCTGCTCCCACGTAAGGCAGATTCGCCAGCCTCACAGCCTACGTACGAGACTGTCACTAGAGCAGCAACAAGCTGTTGCCTCGCATGGTGATCTAACACTTCTCTGGCAATTCGTCAGCTTAAATTGCAGGGTGGCTGTGAAAAGCTACGGTGTCAGCTGCTATGCACATACAGAGAAATCCTGCCTGCACAGGTTGTTCTGCTTGACAAGTGTGAGGCTCACTGAACATGTGAAGCAGGGTGTGTGTGTTCATGTGCTGTAAGTCTCATGTGTCTACACATAGAAAACTTGCTAGGACATCCTTGCTAGACTTTGTGCTCAGAGGTCTCATATGGGACGTGTCTGACAGTCTTTAATACTTTCAGGCTTGCTTTTAGGTCTAGTAGTGCCATACTGTAGGTAGAGGAGATGTTCTTAAACCATTTAAGCATGAAGGCAATATTTTTCTAGGATCTTCAAATGCAAGATTCAAAATTGATCAACCAATTTCTGATTCTGCAAGTTAAAAACCCTGCTGGAAAAATGCTGTCCCTTTTCTGGAGAAAAGTCCCTCAGTGCTGCTTGCATTTATCTGTTACTGTGAGCCTTAGACTTTGATTTTTCATATTGATGCTGTGATTGCAGGCTGAATCAGAAGATGGTTTGCTGCTATACTGTGGAGAAAATGAACACGGTCGTGGTGATTTTATGTCACTGGCAATCATCCGACGTAGCATCCAGTTCAGGTAAAATCTCCACCCTAAATCCGAAGTAAAGAGAAGGGGCCATTGCTGCCTCCTGGGTCTGCTGTATGTGATGAGTATCTGCTGTGTCTTTGACTTCTGACCCATGCAGTGCACAAAACAGGCACTATTGCTTCATTTAATGGTTCTTCGATATTTTTTTCTCTCATCCTTTTGTGCATGGACATGTGGCCTGTTGAACTCTTTTTACTCACACCTTGGTGTAAAGGCAAAATGATCAGTTTTCTTCAAGGCATTAGTGCAGCGCTTGTTGCTGTGTTATCAGAAATGGCAGTGAGCCACTGCTTTTGCTAAACTTATGCTACATCGAGCTGTGCGTAGTCACTGGTTTTGCTTCACAGCAAAAGGACCTGCAGATAACGTAGCAAAATAAAGTATTTAATGTCAGCAAGTGGCCTGGAAGTTCATCTTATAACCCTTGTTTAGATGAGAGTTGTAGGCTTTTAAAATGAAGATGGAGGGGCTTTCTTGCAGTCCCATATATAATGAAGCACGTGAAAGAGTATCTCAAGGATCCCCTTACCTGGGAGAGTGAGTCCTTTGAAAGTTGGGAATAACAAAGTGGGTGATGTGCCTTAGTTGTGTTTCTCTTTAACTGCACTGAAGAGCAATCAGAGAAAATGGTACGTTTTGCACACATTCAGCACCAGAGACTGTCCTGGAGGTCTCCTTATCAATCAGTACTGAGTTTCATATAGAATTGCAGAATTATTAATGTAGCACTGCCTTTCACCAGGGAGCTAGAAAAATTCCCAAGAGAAATTGCTGTGATAGCAGGAACTCAGGTTGTAATACTTTCCATCCTGAAACAGTTTTGGCTGTTGGCAAGCTTTGCAGTGCACTTGGTACGTTCAGAGAATGCAAAATCTTCTCTGCGGGAGAAGGACAGATAATGAAGTTTGAAAGAGATCATATGTAGACCTTCTGTCTAATTTTCCTTTGGTCTGCTAATATGCAGTGTGAAACAGAGAGGTTCCCAGGAGCAAAGGGAATATTTGGAGTCTAAAAATTACTTTCAGTTATTTGATTAATGTAAGATTGTCACCTTGCCCTCTGTCTCACACTCCCAGGTTCAACTGTGGCACTGGAGTTGCAGTCATAACAAGTGAAAACAAAATCAGGCAGGGCAACTGGCACAGTGTCACATTGTTCAGAGATGGTATGAATGGCTGGCTTAGGATGGACAATGATGCTCCAGTGACAGGAAAATCTCAGGTAGGTAATCCTGCACCTGCACCTTGACCTTGGGCTCTCTCAAGGTTATGATGACATTTTTTCTTGCTAACAGAAGTCAGATCAGATTTAAAAGGTAAGTTTTTATTTATCAGTGTTGGGGCATTTAGTGAAACAGGATCAATGTACAGATTACTCATCCGCATATGTAGTTTACAAATCACATCATAGATAAATATCCCAGTGCTGAATCCCATCATAGTTTACCTGTTGTCCTCCATGCTTGCTCTGCCACCCTCCTGCTACAATTTGCTAGTCTCAGATACAGGCTGCTGTTAAAAGTTTGCCAGGTTTTACAGCTGCTGTCCATGATTGCTTTCATTTTCAAGCCTCAGAGAGCTGCTCTGCTTTCTCAGCCAGAAAAATTAGATGCATATGTGTATATGTATATATATTTATGTATAATATCCATATAACCACACAAGGTTTGTGTACAGAGTATAATTACGTGTATGACATAGACACAGATTTAAGCACAGTAATGGAAATAGACATTCTGCATTGACTTTTGTTAACACCAACAATTTCATGTGAGGCCACCAGCGTAAAATATAGTAGAGGAAGTTGTCTTGACTTCGCATCTGTTGCCAGGCCAGAAAACAGAAGTGAAATTAGGGCACAGAAAAAAAGATAGTTGCAAATTGTTACCAATGTCTTTCCCCTTCCCTTTGATAGCCACTATTAGCATGCCATCCCTAGAACTGAAAAAAAGCAACTTCAGACATCTTATTACTTTACACTTCCACGTGCAGGCACTGAAGGAAAAAAATGCTGTGCATTGAGTTCTTATCAGCTGGAGATGACGGAGGAAAGGATTTCAATGCCTGTCACGTGTTGCTAGGTGTTACCAATGCTGTGAGGCAAAGCAAAGGGCAAATGTGAATCAGTAGAGATATGTCCAGTAGAGACTAATGCCATTGCACAGCGCTTCGGTAGGATGGCATCTGCCTATGCAGGGCTATGATCATCCATAGCCAAGAAAGATGAAGTTGAAGGCGAAAAGGTGCAACAAAGGGCTAGTAGGAGGATTACGGTTCACAGAGTCTATTACAAGAAGAGTTTGACTGTGGGGACACATTTTTTTCTAGCTGCAGCTACAACAAAAAAAAGTTAATTGCTCCAGGTGCTGCTCTCCACCAGAACTTGCTGCTCCCATAGTATTGTTGCTCCATTGATCTCCTCCTTAGCCCTTCCTAGTTAGAATGACCTGGATTAAGTCATGAGGTCAGCAGAGTGGTAGTCTTTGCCACTGACCTGGTTCATTTTGACTTGGACAGCCTATAGAGTGCCTACAAGAGAGGTGGAGCTTGGCAGACCAAGGGGGGCAGGACCATCAAAGGGGACAGGAGATGGCAAGTGGTTGGAGGTGGCTGGAAAGCTGTGTGCCCACAGTCCTGGCATATGTGTACCATGAAATCCTGTGGACATATGAACTCTCTTTAGCCGCAGGCTCCACCAGAATTATTTTTCCCTGCTGAAACTGAGATTTGGTGCGTTTCGGCAGTGCACTGTGCAGCGAACACCTGTAGACTCAATAACCTGGCATATTTAGCCTGACAAAATACACTTATGGGATTATAATTTATTGTTATAAACACAGTGGAAGCAGGGCAGGGGTGAAAAATCCAGAAAGATTTTAGGCTAAAGGTCAGTGCAGTCAGAAGGACACATTGGTAAAAGCTGGCCATGAATAAATGTGGGAATTTTGAATGTTTTCTTCTAAAGGGCAGTGAGGTTTTGAAACAACCTTTGAGAAGGAGCCAAAAGACTTATATTCTGATCACTTTATGGAAGGAATTATGACTCAGGAGTTTGATTCAATGGTCCAAAAAGTTCTGTTTAGGGTTTTTTTTGTTCCTTCCTGTGCACTGTAGCAGTGCTAATAAACTTATATGTGTACATTTCCATAAGCAGGTTAATGCAAAAAAAAAAAAAAAAAAGAAAAAAAAAAGATGGGGAGTAAATTTAGCACTGGCAAAGTGAGCAGAACCCTACTGAAGTCATAATTTTATCAGCTTTTGCTTTGTCTTTGTTTTTACTGTTGTTTTTTGTCATTTCATTATTATTCAACGCATTAAGCACTTGCTGGGTTCTGTCCAAAAGGCAATATCACATTGGTCTGGGTCCCCCAGCACTTAGATTTTAGAAGACAAACACTTTTGGCAAAAGTAAAGGAAGTAAAGGAAGAAATTACAGCAAAAGACAGATCACAATCCCTCCTCAGAACATAGTGATTTTTAAGTTTTTTATTGTCCTGTTAGTAGTCCATGTTGTCATGATGGATGTGGGTGCAAAAAGTAATGTTTGGAATGGTAGACTGATTGGAGGAATGACTAATGGAAAGGAATTACCAATGAGCAACCTACATATCCCCTGACACAATCCATTGTGGAGAAAAAAAAAATTGATTATACCCAGTGTGGCTTAATTAGTTTTCCTGTGTTGTGTCTGTTCTACATCATGTCATGCTCTGTTTTCCCTTCAGGGCCAATACAGTAAAATTACGTTCCGGACTCCCTTCTACGTTGGCGGTGCCCCCAGCGTGTACTGGCTGGTCAGAGCCACAGGCACCAACCGTGGGTTTCAGGGCTGTGTCCAGTTGCTCAGCATCAACGGAAAGATAATTGATATGAGACCCTGGCCATTAGGGAAAGCTCTCAGTGGTGCTGATGTTGGTAAGTGTAATGGCATGGGGTCTTTAATCAGTGATGAACCAGGGGTTACTTTTTGCCTGTTGAAAACAGTTGAGCAATGGTCCAGGTTTGAGAATGGAAGGCGCGGTCTCTGTTTTTGGCATGGTATTTCTCTGTGTCTTTGCACATTGTTTTTTCTGGGTCTATAGTAGGAGTGTTTATCACACTGTGTAAGTAAACAGTGCTGTTTAGTATATCACAACCCCTTGTGGACACAGTTATCCTGCACCATAAGTAGTCAAACATTTCTCATGGGCAAACAGGAACCTCAGTGTTGCCGATATAATTACGTCTGCACCAGTATTTCTGCCAGCATCTCTCAGGATGCCTCTTCATTCTCCTGACTGACAGAGTCATATCATCAGAAATCAATAGTATGTACACCGTGTTTGTATTTAAAACACTGCAGACCCAACAAAATGTGTTTTGCCTAAAGGCATCGTTGCACTTGTCCAAAGCAACGCAAGGATCTTTCAGAACCACAGCAGTGCTGTGGCCATTACAGAGGGCTTTTCCCCATTAAACCCCATTACTGCTGGGGCAAATAGGCTTTCCTGTCAACCATCCACTGTTTTCATTTCCAGAGTCACAGTATGTTTTAAAAATACCATGGAATAAATTCTTTCAACAGCTTTATGAAGTGATATCATAACTTTATCTCCCCTTCAGATAAAAAAAATGGAGAAGTAGGGAAGTTAGTTAACCAGTCCTGTTTATTTATTCATCTTTATTTAATCCATGTAACGGGCACTTGAAAAAAAAAAGGGTAAAAAAAATCCTCGCTTTAGTGACCTCCCATTCTCAACAGTTTAAGAGTAAACCCAAGTCAGAAAGCAAGTAGTAAAGGCAGGAAATAGATCCCGTATCACTGAACTCTCTGTGCCATGCTTCAAACACAAAGTCATCTTTCTTCTCTTCTATAGCTGTGCATTTGGCATCCCAAGAAGGAAGTGATTAATGAGAAACTTCCTAACAATTGCTCTGTATTCTCTAGATACCATGACCAAACTTCTGTGCAATACAGGGGGAGAAGAGAGTGGCCCAGGAAACAGATGCTGAAAAGAATAAGACTTCAGAAGCAAAGAGTAATTTCACGATAGAGTGAGAATCTATGGAATTTAGATAGATAGATAGATGAAGGCCCTGCTGAAGATCTGTGAGCCCTAATCTCTATTGCCTTTTGGGTTGCAGCTAACTTCATTCCCACCCATGAATGCTCCAGATACTACTACATTAACAATCAACATCAGCGAAAACAAATGCTGGGTTCTGCCATGCGTGACTCAAAACTGAGTGATAGAGCCTTACTGTCCTTACGTGACTGCACACACTTAAATGAAACTGTACCAGGAGAAACTTGCAAACAATATGCCATATAAATTAAGCTTAAAATAAATAAATTGCAAGTGACCTCTACTAGTGTTTAGGGATGGTTTTTGCTAGCCAGTCTTTTGTTTCTTTCCTGTTGGCATAGCGAGGGGTGCTGTGGTACATGGACCACAGATTGAGGGTGGGGAGGAGAGAAGTCCATCCTGCCCCTGCGCCGTCTCTGTTGGCTGCAGCAGAAGTCCCACCAGACCGTGAGCTATGGGGCTGACAGGGGAGGCAGCTCGTGGTTCGGAGCAGGCACGACAGGACCCTGTAGTCCCCCTGCAGCTTCCATCCTTGCTCACCTGCCACTGCAGCCAAGCAGATGCAGCCATCAGACCTGTGGTTTGCCTTTTCGGTGTAGTCACCTGTGCTGGCCCGAAGGCTGTGACAGCAGAGTGATCAGGATGAACCAGTACATCAGCCATTTACATCTGCATACTTCTCTGTGCTTTGCTTTCTGACTGTGGGATGGGAAGTCAAGCTGTAAAGCTGGTGCTGTACTAACACCAGTACCTGGTCTGGAAATCATCTTTATGGTTTACATCAGTGTGCTATATTTAAACAAAACAAAAAGGGCATATCCCCTTCTTGCAGTAGTTTTGCAAGACTTCTTTCAGTCATCTCAGTTAACAAAACTGTTCTCCTGTGTTTATTGTCATGTCTGCCACACGACACCTGTGTCATCTCAGAGGTGATATTTCAGTGTGCCTCAAAATATGTGCAGTTCTTAGTTTGTCATAACCACTTTGCCCTTCCAAATGACGTGCTTACACTTGTACACCACAAATGTCTTATTTGGGCTTTCTTAATGTACAAGATCAGTTTGTTACTATCAATGAGGGGAGAATTATTTAATCGGAAACTAAAATAAAGTAGAAAGTAAACAAGAACTTCATCAGATGACCATTGCATAATCTAACTTTATAGATACCAGTTTTAAGAAGTAAATAAGTAAATTATTTGTTCTATAGCAATTTCAGCCTAATTCCAGCAAGAAGAAATCATCCCCTTGTTATTATAGTTGATCTGCCAGCATAGTAGAAATGCTTCTGTAAAAGCCCATGTGCTGATGATATGGATCCCTTTTAGTGCAGACAAGAGGCCTGACAACCTCATTTTAGTTAATAAGATTAGTTGATGATGATTAACACCTTCCATGCTTAGCATGGCATGAATTTACAGTGAACAAAGAAGCACTTAAGGTAATTGAAATTAAACAAGTCACAGTGCTTGTAAACAGTCTGGAGAGCTTCCTATTTTATGAGAAAATAAAGATAGGAACAAGAGCAGAAGAAAAGGAATCCAGGGAATGATTGAAAGCTACAACTGTCATGGTTTGTTTGTAAGGGCTAATTTTTGCTGTTTTTAAGACTTCTTGCTGGTCTGGTACTAAAAAAAAGTGCTAAAGATCAAGTTACCTTGTCTAAATTGCACACCATTTGACAAATTGAGAAAGAATCTAGACAGGAGAGAAAATTGTATTGGTTAGTAGCAATGATCAACAGCCAAATAAATCTTCTTTGACAAACTTCTCTGATAAATCAATGTTCGGGCTCTGTGTTTAGGTGAGTGTAGCAGTGGCATCTGTGACGAGGCGTCCTGCATCAACAGCGGTACCTGTACTGCAAGCAAAGCAGATTCATACATTTGCCTTTGCCCTCTTGGATTTAAAGGCCATCATTGTGAAGAAGGTGAGAGGATGCTGGGCTGCTTATATTTCTTTGTACATGTTATATAATGTTCAATGTGTTTTCCACATAGTGACATCCAAGGAGGTCTCATGCTATTACACCGACAGAAAAGAGTACTTGTTACTCATCTTTTTAAAATCACATAGTGAAACTCTCCCTCACCATTCACTTTGGAGCTACATCCAGCTCCTACACAATCAGTGATTCTCAAACCGCTTTGCTTATTTAAACTAACTATAATTAAGCATCTCAAACTTACTTTTCAGAAGTTAAAATAATGTACCACTCCACAGCCACGCATTAACTCTAAAAAAATCCCCACTTTTCTCCTAAAAGCAGTGTCAGTTGTATAATCTGAAATGTAAAAGACCCAATATCAATTTAAAAAAGAGATACAAACAAATAGTCAAATACATACAGCATTATTTTCTGTGCTGCAGAACTTTTCATGCCAGCACTCATTGTGTGCATACTTGCTACTTTGAAAAACACTGTGGTGAATCATTAAGGAAAAGGAGCCCAAAGCTTTATAATACAAATACATCCTTGGAAAAGGAAGGCATAAAGGAGGGAAGCAGTGTTGACTAGGATAAAAAAAAAAAAAAAATAATTTGGAAGATGAAATTTTTAGGTTGTTTTTCTTAATGTTAACTTTAACTACCTAACAAAGGGAACTGATACTGGTTGGTAGGAGTCAATCCCTTACCTTTGAGCCTCAAGTGACCTGCTTGTGTATTCTGGATTTCCAGCACTCACCTTGGCCATACCTCAGTTCAACGAGTCCTTAAGGTCATTTGCTAGCACACCCTGGCCCTTGGAACCACAGAATTACCTTTCCTTCATGGAGTTTGAGATGACATTTCGTCCAGATTTAGAGACTGGTGTCCTTTTGTACAGCTACGACACAAACAGCAAGGACTTCCTCTCCATTAACATGGTGGCTGGTTACGTGGAGTTCAGGTTCGACTGTGGCTCAGGAACGGCTGTTATCAGGTAAACAGCGTTGCTTGTGTTTCCTTTCCAACAGTGCCACAGTGCTGATCCAGGAAAGGAGTGAAAGAGAAATAAGCTATAATGAGGTATGGGAGCCTGTCAGTGTCTAGTGCCTACTTCTTCTGAGGAAGCACAGAAACACTAGAACTGTATTCAAGGGGACAGGATTTTCTTCCTACAAAAGTTTATGTTTCCAAGCTTCATTATCAGTGTTACCATGTCATGCCTCCACCTTACTGCAGATGTTACTTCTGTTTCTGTATGGTATTGCAGAAATTCCCTTGCCTCCATGACATTGTGCCACAGCTAATTAGGGGGAATCTATAAATATTTTATGCATATAATTTCTAGCCACAGGAGTGTACAATATTGGCACTTTTGTGAGCATCCTCCTCATTGGTCTCTAGTTCTGGGCAGTAAGTACCAGACCGGAGCTGTCACAAGAACATACACCTCCAGGTCCCTCTTTCCTCATAGTGCTGGGTTTTGGGCGATCTGAGGCTAATATCCAATTTACATAACTTAAGCAGTCTAAAAGATAAATATATGGTTTAAACGAGTCACCCAGGCTCCTAGACAAAGACAGACCTTCTGGGAATGATTCATTGCATCCTAAAACTAATGTCCAGGATAGGAGCAATGAAATGCCTCAAAAATGGCTGCTCTCCGTCTGTGTAGCGGAGCGCTCCATCTCCAGACAGCTGTTCCCTGGGCTCTTCTGAAAAGGCAATGGGCCGAACAGAGACGCTCAGAACCTTGGATGTGGTCCAAGAGGCTGCCGGTTTGACTAGGCTAACCTAATATTTAGAAATAATCTATATAAAGCTTATGCAAAATGTGTACACTGCCTGCAAGTCTTGCATACCATATGCTCCATGTGGATGGACATCAAGAATTTTGGCTATACTCTGATTAGGGAAAATGTACTGATTTTCCACTGAATGAGGACTCAAGCAAACAAACACCTTCAGATGACAAAGTGAGAGTTGAAATTTCAAGGGAGCAAATGCAAAATAATGCACAACCCTAACAACACACAGCTGTGGCAATACAGTTAGTGTTGTCAGACAGAGAAGGATCCTGGAGTCATCATGGGTAGTTCTGTGAAAGCAACAGCTAACTGCTTAGAGACAAATACAGAAATATAAGTACAATGCAGAGAATCATTAGGAGTGGAATAAGGAACAATGCTTCTGCAAAAATCCACAATGCACCCTGTCTTGAAAACTTGCTGTCGTTCTGGTAACTTCATTTCAGAAGAAATTAGAAAAATTTAAAAAGAAGAGTAGTGTTGATATCCGGGGCAGGGAAAGAAACAGCTTCCACAAATACAGCAGGATCTTCCATCTGAAAAAGAAAGAGCTTGGTGGAAGTATGTTAAAGTTTTTTAAGTTGTGAATGACATGGAGATAAACAAGGAATGATTATTTTTTATTTTTTCAATATGGAAGAATTAGAAGGAGCCCAGTGAAACTGCAAACAAAAAAATAGCAAAGAAAGAAAATAACAGGTTTTTTTTTTTCAGACAGCACACAAGTAAGTTGTGGAAACTAATTGTCACAGCATGTCACAAATGCCAGAACTATAAATAGGTTAAAAAAAAATAATTAGAAAAATTTGAAGAAAGCTCCATTGAGGGAGATCAAACACAATTGTACGGATGCAGCCTCTGACGCAGGAAATTGCTAAATGACAAGTTGCCAGAAACTGGGAGGATATATCAAGAGAAGAATTACTCCATACTTGCCCTGTTCTTTTTCTCTTGTGGAAAAGTGGCAGAAATAGCTAATGTTGGCGACCTTTGCTCAAACCCAAAATAGCCCTTCTTACAACAGCCTTCAATCTTTTTCTGATTACAGCCATCTAATTCCTATTACTGGCAATCATAAAAGTAGACAACATTTCCCCCCCCCCCCCCCAAGAATACTATGACAGTTCAAAACACCTTGGACTAAAGTTTAACCAAGATGTAGGCTGTAAAATGTGGCAAGAGCCACAAGCGTGTGCCTGGGAGTGGAAATTGCCCCTTTCTATAGGAAAGCCGAAGAGCGAGCAGGACGCCAGCTAGCACCTGGCTCACGGGCGTTGGGGAGAAGGGGTGCACTGAGGTAGGTGGGAAGTGGGGGAGGCTTATGGCACTGGCAGGCTTCATTGAAAGTTGTCAGGATGTCCTCTTCAGCTCCTTTTTCTAGATAACATGTGCAACTCACACCCTGTCATCAGCCCTGTCAGTGATTAAATAAAATAAATAGATTCCCAGTTTTTCATGCCTGCTTAGCCAATATCTACTTAAAAGTCTGCCTTGATCTTCATCATACCACTTCACGCCCACTCCTTGTCCTAAACGGGGCTATAATTCTGATCGTCCTGAGTATCTCTTCCATAAGACCAGGCTGTCAGATATGATAATACCATCAGAACAAAATTATCATGTCTTTAAGGGTGCGGCAAGCTCATTTAGGTTTGTCAGCAGCAGCAGCAGGAAAGCTGACGTTAGTGAAGCTTGTTTCTTTTCCTGAAGCATCCTGGGATGGAAGCAGCATGGTGTGTGCAGGGGACTCAGGAGGGAGCAGGGATGCTGCGTGGACAGATGGATGCAGAACCTGAGCTATTTACCAAGATGTCTTAGAGGAGAATTTGTTATCCCCTGGGATTTCCCTTGGCCAGGCATTTGCAGGATCAAGATCTTCATCATTTGGGGTATTTTTTAAGGTTTGGTTTCTGTGGGGAAAAGTAATCCTTAACCCCACAGCACATGAAGAACTAAAAGTGTTCAAATGCCTGCAGGTAGCATTACCAAACTCATGTTGGTTTCAAAAGGCCTGTGAATGCAAGAAATAGCTTGCAACTCTGAAGTGATGACTCTGCAAGGTTTAATCATCCCTAATTGTAATTAAATCTAGTGGAGCAGGAGGGTTAGCGTGATGATGACCTAATCAGCAGAGGAGATAAAATTGCCACTTATTGGGTAGCCAAACTTGTCTGGTTCCTTTATATGTATATATCGACTTCTTCAAGGTGATTAAATTCTGTTACCTCTTGATTTATCCAAGGTAGTTAAACTCTAAATGCTACTACATAAGAAAAAGGACAACTGAATGGCATTGTTCAATATTTTTTTATGGAGGTTCTCTGAACCAAGTGTTCGAGTAATATTCCCAGTGTTGTGCAAATAGTTGAAAATGGGCTTTGAGAAAATTTGGAGGAGCACAATAGATACAACACAAAGATTTCAAAGCTCATGTTGATTGTTCAGGAAAAAAAGAAAATAAAGAAATTGTTATTTTCACATTTTCAAAATTATATACCTTTTTTAATCAGCATTTGGATCACTTGATTATTTCAAATCACATTTTTTTCAGTTCTTTCATTTTTAAATGTATGTTTTTTTCGTTTTTAAATATAAGTAGCCTAAAACCTGAAAACATTATTTCACCCCAAACAGTTTTGTGTGTTTTCATTGAAAGCTAGAAAATTTTCAAGTGTCCTCGTTAACATGGTTTCTGATTTTTCCAGCTTGACCAGTGAATCAAACGCAAGTTTTCATTGCTCCTGGAGATATGCTGCGAGCTAACATTTAGATGTAAAATGCTTTAACCAGTGTAGTAAAAATGAAAACAAGATACAAAGTTCTGTAGAACTTCTAAAGGGGAATATGGTTTTGCCCTTTATGCAGGCTGCTATTCATATTAGTGCTGAACTAATAAAGATTGTAAGAACAGTTTTAAAATGCTTCCTTTGAGACTGGTGAATACTTTGCACAACTGGGGATTATTGTTCCTAGCCAGGATCTCATCACGTCATTAGGACTGTATTTTGGTTATTTCCCCTTAATGTACAGCAGCCAGGCTGCATGTGTTGTGTGTGTGTGTAGATGTCAGTGTAACAGGCTGCATAAATAGAGCTGATAAGCCAACACAAAGTAGTTCTGTTTTAAAAGAGGACGAAGAATGTGAGACTAGACTAACCATTAAGGGGAAAGCTTTATCTTCAGGCTTATGTCATTGTGAAATGAGGATGTACAGCTGAGACAAAAATTTGCCTTTATGCATTATAAATGACTGAGCAAAAACATTAGCTCAGAGATAGATGAAATGCATGCTGATAATAGAAATGTTTCATTTATAAATAAAAGCAGAGAGCTTGTTATTTGCTGTAGGAACATGGTCTTATTTGCTTTTGCTGATGGGGCTCAGAAATTATTTTATCTCCTTACGAAGAAAGAACCATAGTGATTTATTTTAATTTTTATGTAGAAAATCATCCCAGAGCGCTTGACTTTTTAACATAACAACAATATTTGAAAATATCAGAAAGGCAAAAGTGTAAAATAATTGAAAGTTTTCTTCCCCTTAAAACAGGAGTGAAGAACCTGTCAGTCTGGGTCAATGGCATGAGTTGCGAGTGTCTCGCACAGCGAAGAACGGTATCCTACAAGTGGACAAACAAAAGCCAGTGGAAGGGACGGCAGAGGTGAGCATATGGCACAGCTTGTCATGAATGCAGCTGTTAGACTATAAAATGATTGCATAGTAAATTACACAGGCTGCTCTCAAAGCTCTTATAAGCTCAAAATTATACACATTGAGGCAACATTTTTTTAAGACCAAAATTGGAAATTTGCACATGAAGTCTTTCCTCTGAGGACAGGGATCCTTGTAAAGGCACAACCTGACCTGCCCTTGCCATGTAACTGGACTCACATTTTTATGTTTGGTTCATGCTTGTTCTTGAGGTTCTTTTCTTGGTACTTACTGGTTGTGGCTAAGTCTGTTGAACAACGTGTGCACTATGAAATGTGTCATCTGGAGAAGGATGATGAAAATTATGTGCACAAAGTCCTGGTTTTACCACTCTCTGAATATTGTGCTGGAAAGGTAGGCCAAAAGAGAATTTTTTCTTTGTCTTCTTGCAAAAGAAATTTTCAAGACAGAGTAAGGGCTGGAATACTCAGACAGTTGATGACTTACATTTTATTCTTCCCTCAACAAGACCTCATAGTAACTTGGTAATAAGGTGAAATTTTGCTTGTACTGAGCAGGGTATTCACTCTAAGCGCTCAAAGGGATACACAGAGGAACTTTATTATCGCAAGAACCTGAGGCTAGAACTGCTTAGAAAATGTCTTTTATTCTTTCCTAGTGGAAAGTGTTGCCAGAAAACCAGACTCCAGATCCTGTTAGTAGAAGAATATTCAGATTTTTCTGCAAACTGGGAAACTACTTAAAGCTTAGATTTTTAATTTTTTTTAAATGCAAATAAATTGAAATTCCAGTTGTCTCCCAGATTGAGTGGGAAACATTCAAACGGAGCAGTTGAGACTTCTTTAGATAGATGGGTCAAGATGAAGACTCCCAGTTTTTTCCTCTAAGTGCTGCAGTGCAGCTGCAAAAGGAGGTTGGCTGGGAGCTGCCAACAAAGAAATCACAGGAGCTTCTGCAGGACTGGAATTACACAGTTATCCTGTCCTTAGCTGATAAACATCTTCCAGTTCACTCCAGGACACTCACTAGTCGCATCAGGTATCTTGAACAACTGCTTCTGGTAGCTAATGCAAACTCAATGTTTCTTTCATTTAACCTCATAACTGGATTATCTTTTTAGGTACTGGAAGCATTAAATGAGTCTCCGTTGCATGGACTTTGCTGTGATTTTAACTTATGAACCGCATTCTGATTCTAGATTTACATCAATGTACCTCAAATCACTGCAAACAGACCTAGATGTGCAGTCAGAAATCATAATGAATCAGTCTCCTTTCTTCCTTCAGTATTCCCATTTTGAAATACTTGAAATTTTTCAGCTAGTTCTGATTAGGATAGAGCGCAGTCGGAAGAGAGTGCCCTACAGTGGGCTTTCTTGAGAGAATTGTGCAAAGAAATGTAATTAGCAGAAGTAAAGAAGCATTAAAGTAAGCTATAACTTCTAATGTAGGCTAATCTGAAGATACAAGTATGATTCCAGCTACTGTAATAAAATGTCATTCTTCTGTTTCTTGCAGGGGGCTTTCACGCAGATTAAGTGCAGCTCTGAAATATTTATTGGTGGAGTCCCTAGTTATGATGCTGTGAAGAAGAACTCTGGGATCCTCAGACCCTTCAGCGGGAGCATCCAGAAGGTATGTGCCCAGAGACACACACTGGAGCCATTTATTTCCATCTCATCCCGTGCGCACTTTAGGTGGACACCTGCCCTTATACCACTGACAATATTTAAAGTAATCCAAGATTTCACCTCAGGAGCTCACCACAAAGTGCTTAAACACATATTTCACAGTGAAAAGTCATTCTAACTTTAATAGCCAGTATTACCACTGCCAGACTCCCTATTAATTTCTATACTGTACTACTAAATGAGCAGAAGTCATACAGGATCGAGTTCGGAATGATGCACAAAGCTCTGTGAAGATTAGAGCCCTCAGAGTGCCCTGTAGCATCTTATATAAATAAAAGAACAGAAAAAATGCTCAAATACTTCAAAGTGTGCACACTGAGGCAGCTAAATGTCTGATGTAACCACTACCACAAGGTGCAAAAAAGAAGGTGCAAATTAAAGTGAATCCCAGTCCAGCTAGCGTATTCTTTACCACACAGCAGTTGCATACGCCACTGCCTTCCCCATCTTACAATTTTATATGGGGCACATGATCAGAGATCTTTTTCATTGTTCAAAATTCAAGAATGAAATTCAACAAATTCAAACTGAACTAATATTTGCTCTCCCTAGGCATACTTAAAATAATTTAGATAAAGCTGAAAGGTTGGCCCTGAATCTTCAGAATTTTAAATGAGTGAATTACTATATCAGATTTACTTAACAAATGAAAAACTCTAATAGTGCATCTCATAACTATTGATCAAGGACGGAATGGTAATTGCAATTCAGTGTAAATGGTTTCATCACTTGGTCCAACATTTTTCACTATCTTTGACAGCTGTCTAGGGGAAAACATGAAGTCCAAGAAAATTGGGGGAGTGTGTAAGAGTGATGGGAACAGGTCAGTTACACAAACATCACTGGAAAGATGGGCTAGACTAAATACAGTGCGTTTTGAAGTACAAGACAGGGAGCCTAGGAGCAATTAACAGAGGCCACACTTACAAGGTGAGGGGTTGTACCCTAGAGTGCAGAGGCACTGGTAAGGATTGGGAAATGCAGAGTGTGAGCCCTTACTTCTGTGCTGTACTTAAGGAGGTGGGTTTGCCTTCTCAGAGGCCTGAATGGGATGTCAAGGAAAGGTATTGCCTGACTTTTGGGCACAGGGAGACTGCTAGTTGACTGCTGTGTTTACATATGGTAGGATTTTGGAGAACTGTGTAGAAGTAAAGCTACAAACATCACGGAGTACTGGAAAACATGCTGTGCATAGAAAGACCTAAGATTTCAAATCTATCATCTAGTTTACTCAGATAAGGTTAAGCGATGACTTTACTGTGGTCTGCTAGTTCCTACATGAGGGTGAGATTTGAGTACCTGGCTCTGAGGTGATGCAGAAAATGGCATGATGAAAAATAATGGCTGGAAATTGAAGAAAAGATTAAGCCCAGAAATAAGAGACACGTTGTTAAGAGTGAGGGCTTGTTAACCTCTGGAACAATGTAGCCAGAAATTAGAAAGAAGCTGAAAAGGTAGGGAAGTCTTCACTGGTCTATCTTTACAACAGAACTGGACGTTTTTCTGATGTTGAAGTTGTTTAGTGCTGTTTCAAACAGAGTATATATGCTTGATAGAACCCCTTGTCCCAGTAGGACCCCCTAAGGTGCATCATCTGAGTTAAGCAGCAGCCAGAGTAACTATTACCATTCTCATTTTTGACCTTAAAATCTATTTGCTTGTGAAAATGGCCTTCTTATTTTGATGTAGCTGAGATCAGAAGCCGTACCCACATGTAATCTCTCTGCCAAGATACCAGCTGAGATTATACAAATGTCAGTTTTTAGTGGAGAACATGTGTTGCTGGCACATTGGAAAAATCACAACATTTAACAATTTCTCTTCAGTTTATGTACAAACAGTTTTGTGAAATCATTAATTATGTTTTTCATCCATCTTAACTGTAGCTTCTTTCAGGCAAGATGAGATACTAGAAAGCAATAGAAAATATGAAAAATAAGCCATTCTGCTTAGTATTTCTGTTGTCAACGCTCATCTCCTGGGGGGTTTCCTGATCTCAGAAATGCTATTCCTCAGCACTGCTCATCTAATTTTACTGTCCTAGCTCATGGCTTAGCTACAAAGCATGAACTAGCAGTGTTCAGACACGAGACTGGTAAATCCCACAGAGCTTCACCCCATATGAGGGTTGCCTAAGGCTGTGTCACAAAACAGAAAAGAAATTGATCTGCAGTGGGTCAGGGTGAGCAACGGAATGAGTAGGACCTCTGCAACTGGAAAACACACATTACAAGAAATAGTTTTTGGCCAAGTTTTAACGGTTATGTTTCTCTGAAGTCTTCTAGAGAAGCCTTCTGACAAGCAGTACAATACTGGGAATTTGGAAGATTTTAGCATGTGTTTTCCTTCCTATATTATTTATTTTATTTTTTTTTAACACATAGATTATCTTGAATGACTGGACAATTGATATGAAACAGGATTTCACTTTTGGAATCAACCTGGTGAATACTGCCCACCCCTGCGTGAGCTCACCATGTGCAAATGGAGGCACCTGTGTTCCCAAGAAGGACAGCTATGAATGTGACTGTCCCCTGGGCTTCGATGGGCACCATTGCCAAAAAGGTAACGGCTCCATTTCCATCCAGAGATCCGGAGTTGATCACAAAAATAAGAGAGATTTAGCACCTACAACTGCAGTGGTATATATCCCTTGAAACAGAAACTCTGGAGGCCAGAACTCCCCTTGCATCTACGCACATTCCATGTACTCAGGGAAGAATTCATTTTGTTATTCAGGAACACAGTAACTGTTATCCCAGCACAGAGCTATGATCCATAGATAGCAGCCTGGCATCTGGTTGCTTGTGGTGGCCAACACTGAACATTTCATACACCTCCCTAATTATGCAGTGCTATACAAAGGGGAAATTCCTGCCAATGTCCTCCAGCCAGTGATTGTTATGTCCTGAAGCATGAGCATTGATAACCCTTGTAATTTTATCCTCCCTAGGACTCACAACAAATGCTATTCACATATACAGAAAGGTCTAGTCCTTTTTTAAACACTGACTACTCTGATGGTAATTTAACCATCTGCACAAACCCTACCTTGGTACGGCAATGGAGACCACCAAGGAGAGAAGTCTGCCAAGATGCACGTTATTCTTCTTTCCTCAGAGCCACTGTAATAGTTCAAACCTTAGATTCAGGAAAGTGTTCAGATTGCATGAAGCGTTAAAAAAAGGTGCTTCGGGTTATTCCACTAGATGGAGATGTTTCCTTTCTGTCAGGCTTGATCTTGAAAAATTCCTAAGGGAAGGTTTTGTAACGTAACAAACTCAATTGAAAAGAGCTGACTGACGCTATTGTCTTCACCCACTCCTTCATTTCTCACAGGCACAAACTTCAAAGTTAAAAGTAGTGGTTTTGCTGAAATTGTGATGACTAGATTGGCCTTTTCTTCCATAAAAGAAATCTTAGAACAAAAACATTTTATTAAAATACAATACAAGAAACCTCTTTGCTTACGTTGTCGTGGTCTAACTAATAGCTGGAGCAACGTCATTTATCCTGACTTCTCTGTGGGGAGGAGGGAGAATTGCGATTTTGGCTTTCTAGGTATGTGGAGGGTGCTAAGCTCCTGACTTCAAGTACTGAGGTCTCCAGGGGGAGTCAAGGCAAGTGAATGCTTTGCAGCTTGGGTGTGTGACTGCCTGCCTGTTCGGTGAGCTCCTGTGCATTGCTCGGACCATGGCTCCTCACCGCTCCTCTGCTTCTGACCTGTGCTAAGCCCTGAGAGCAGTGATCCTGCTGTCTGTGGTTGCTCTTCAGGTGCCTCTCAACCCCCCTGCACTTGTGCAACCTCAGCTACCACTGAAAATCCAAGTTTTTGCTGGTGGATGTGCAGAGAGCATGGAGGCCCCTCTTGAACCTCAGTCCACGACAACCTTGATGAACCTGAAGCATATTTCTCAAAATAATCCTGAATGCACATGTGTGTCTGCTTCTATTTCAGAATGGGTTTTTGTTTAGTGCGCTCAGCTGGTATGTGAGAGGCTGAAGGTGCAGTCTCCATCCTGCTTGCTGGTGGGCTGCTGTAACCCCACTGCCTAAAAACCAGGGGAGGGTTTGTGAGGGACTGTGCCTCATTCTCCAAAATTATATATGCCGCTTAAAAAAACGCAACTTAAATGATGTTGGTATGAGGTGTATGAGATATTGATTCATACCGTAATGGATCATTGACCAAGTATTCAACAGAATTTCTACTGGCATTGCTGCGTTTTATATCTTCTGTCCAAGCTGTGGGGAGTGTTAAAGGTATTTTTATACTTAATTGTAAGTTGGAGTAGAACAGAAAACTGTTGCTTTCCCCTGGTTAGAGCTGATCCCTGGGTAAACCATGGTGAGTCACTGGGATTTGAAAACAAGGACTAGCTGGTCCTACCTGTCTGCATCTTTGTGTGTTTTGAGTAGGCAAATATAAATTCTTTGGGCAAAACAATAACAAAAAAGTGCTGCCTTCATAGATGATGAGTTGCTTGTGCAAATGGGGAGCAGGGATCATGCATTTGCAGAAAGGTAGGCATGAAATTGGACAAAGAGAGATTTTTATGCTATGGAAAAATAAAATGACAATGTTCTTGTTTTGTTTTGTGCTGACTCACTGCAGAGTGTGGAAGTTACTGCCTAAACAGTAAGTACTGCAAATGATGTGAAAACTGCTCTGTCATTGTGCATCTGTGTCTGCTCTAGCAGGCTGGATGCTGGGTTTCCATTAAGCCTGGCAAGCTTCTGTCAATAATCCAAAGTATTTTCTAGGGTTATATAGTACTTCCTTAAACCTTGTCCTGTTGATATTTTAAACTGCATCCAGAGCACCTGCTCAGTGCAGAGAGCTGTAGAGCTGCTCCCTGTATTCACAAAGCAGCAGGGCCAGGTGGCTGTCCGAGTGCTTGGTAGGGATAGGTGCTGCAGTTCAGAGCTCACTCTCGCTCACTCTGCTGCTCTCCCAAGTCATGATGAGCAGGCAGTGAAGATGCTTAGTCCTGGATCTCCTTAGTGGCCCTGTTCCCTTCCAGTTACAAAGATCCTGTACGCGTCAAGGGTAGTCCTAAAATTTACTTGGTTTTCTGCGGTTGAATTCACTGCAGCAAGTGAATTGCATACAGAAGAGCAATCAGAGATAAATGCCCATCAAGCTCCATAGATGAAATGAGAGTCCTAGAGCAAGGGCCAGGGCTGCTGCATGGCACGGGTACCTTCCCGTGCCGAAGGCAAGAGCAGTGAGGCGCTGGTGCCGGTGTGGGATGTGACCGGGCAGGAAGAAGGGCTCCTTTCACACTCTGCTCCCATCTGCCATGGTTAGAGACTGTCCAATGCAGAAAGCGTCAGACCTGGTGAGGAATGTCTGGCCAAGTGTAACACGTCTTTTGCAATCTTCCAACAACACTGGCAGGCTGCAGGCTGTGGACCGCCTGTGGTGGTTTCTTTAGACACATTAGGCAGTTTTCCTGATTTCACTACAGATGAAAACAGGCATTCGTCACTATCTAAAATTCTCAGTCTTGGCACTTAGAGCTAAATTTCATATTGCTGTTGTTGGCTGCCAGACTACAGCAATTGTTGCATATCTGTGTTACAGTGAGCTCTTAAAGCCCAGCCGGCCTCTGCATTGCTTAAAGAAAGCAAGCATCCATGCCCTGAAAAGCTTGAAATTTATATAGATGAGGTTATCTGTGGGTTGAAGGGATTACCTCTCAGGAAGAAAACAGGATGAAAGCAGCTGTTTTAAGGAATTTATAGAACTAGATTATATTAATGTGGCAGTCAGTTAGGAGACATCAGCAGCAAACTGTAGGATGTTCACTCGAAAGAAAATCTGTTCAGGCCAGTGCTCATAGCCTACCGAAGGCTGTGTATCAGGGGTGTTCAGTGATTTATATCAAACATCTGAGTTATTTCACCAAAGTCTTCTCCACGGGCAGCAGTACACCAGCTCCAGGACCGGTTGCAATGCCGTCCCAGCAGCTGTACACCACAGCTGTACCAGGGGCTGTCCCTACAGAAATGGGAGGTGCGGTGTGTGGGACACTGGTGAGCTCCCAGCAAAACACCCTCCAAGGCAGCTCTGCAGCATGTTGAATGCACACACCAAGAGGCTTTGCAGCCTCTGTCGTACAGCCTTTTAACGTAGTCTCAGTGAAGACCTGAAGTGATTAGGGGCGCTCTGTATGTCCTCCTCAGAGATAGCGTCCCCCGACACTGCACCCCAGAGGTGAGCCCTGAGCAGATGGCAGCGGCTCTGTGCAGTGTCACATACACAAAAGCTGAAAATGGGGAGCTCTCAGGTTGCCTGTGCTGCCTCCCGGCCTCACTTTGCAGGGGTGAGAGGTCCCCACACATGCTCTGCACATGGTGCGCCATTAGGAGCAGGGGAGAAGTTTCTTAGACTAAGAACAAAGAGTGGTTAATGCATAAGCTTTGGCAGGAGGGTGGCTTGAACCACACAGAGAATCAAGGAATGTGGAAACAGGGATAAAAATAAAATTTGCAATGTTATCCTCCTACTTCTTGTTTTCCTGTGCTAACATTTATGGTGGAGCAATACATTAGGCCCATGACATGAAGGCTGTAAGTAGAGAGACTGTCAGCAGTTTAAACTACATCAACTACTGCTGCTACATTTAGGTATGAGCTGGCGGTGCCTTTTTGCAAACCCATATGAGTTCAGCTCAGTTCTGTGCCGCCAGCAGGTACCTGCCAATGTGGGAGTGAATCAATAAACAGTCTTGCCTCTTTTTTTTTTCTCCTTCCATTTCACTATCAGCTAACTGACACTCGTCTTAATTTTTTTATTTACTTTTCAGCCATTACAGAAGCAATTGAAATCCCACAGTTTATTGGTCGCAGTTACCTCACATATGATAATCCAGATATCCTGAAAAGGTAATGTATCTCCTGTGAACATAAATATTCTGTTTGCTAACCATTATAATGCCAGGAGCCTCACGTGGGAGGATGTTGTATATTTAAGCGTCTTAAGCTGTATTTGCCATATTTCTAAATTTCAGGAAAAAAAAATACTCTTTCTATGCATATGCTTATGGCTCAGTTTGTTGCAATATCTGAGCATCTTGCAGCCTGTAGAGAAACAGTATGCACAGCGTATGTCTGGCATGGAGAGGGACGGGTATGAGCATTCTGAGAGCAAAGAACGGACATACAGAGCCTGTGTGTGTAAAGAGACCAATGATGTTAACTCCTGCTTTAGCCTAAAAATTAGGTCCTCAAACTTCTTTTTGGCTGCTCTGTATCTTAGAAGATGCCCAAATTCCAGCAAATTGTGGGTTGTTTCAACAAATTCCTCCATCCGCCTTTGTTTCAGCCACTGGCTAGAGGAGGCTTTGCAAATGTCCTCACCTGCAGCTCAGTGCCTCTCACCTCCCAGGACTTTCTGATTTGCCCTTCTTATGTGTCTTCCACTGATTACTGAGGGCACCAAATATACTGGATGTTCTCAAAATTTGCTTGTTGGACTGGATTTCACACTAGGCTTGGAGAGAAAAAGGATATTTGTGTGGAATAACCAAGTAGCTATTGTGTTTGGGATTCTGGAGGGTCAAGTTCAATTCCCCCACTCTGAAATGCTAGGAATGGGGATGTGAACAAGAGCCCCTCACACACCAGCATGTAGGCAAGTTGCAAGACAGTAACCTGCAAGACCAGTGGAGAAGAAATACTGCATCATCTTTTATGTTTTTTTTGAAAGAAGACCATCCCAGTTCGATATTTTACTATTATTTCCTCCTTCTAGGGTCTCAGGATCAAGAACAAATGTGTTCATGAGGTTTAAAACCACAATGAAGGAAGGTCTTTTGATGTGGAGGGGAGACAGTCCCATGCGACCTAACAGTGATTTCATTTCTCTAGGCCTTCAAGAAGGAGCATTAATATTCAGGTAAACTTTGTCTCCCTCGTTTGTGTCGCATGCAGTACACTCAGGGCTCGAAGGAATTGCCGTAACAGATCCAGTGCACTTGTTCTTTGATATAGTGCAAGACAATTACATCCTCAAGGTTTTGTTCAGTGATGGATTCCATTATTGTCTGGGAAGGGATGTGAGTTGAAGAGGTAATGTGCTGCAAGCTTTGCATCATTTCTGCTTGCTCCCTCCCAGTTTTTAAACCAGCTTTTTTTAATGTGATTTTCTAAAAGTCACCTTATGAGGATACGAGTACTGTCAGTAAATCCCCAAAGGCCTCTTGAAGCACTTGCCGTGTCAGTTAAGCGGAGCAGGTGTAGGGTTTGCAGAGAGAGAGCAGGGGTCAAGGAAAGACTCCGCAGGCTCACTCTTCACCAGAGAGTGCACATGGGAGCAGGGCTCCCACCCTCTCAAAACCCAAAACACTGTGGCACAAACAGAGCTGTCTCCAGGCTTCTTTACCACCACCATGAACAGAAGCACTTATTTAAGAAGCCAGTAATATTACTGTCAAATATCTGAAATTGAGGAGTGTTGGGAACTGTTGGGCTGAACTCATGTTCTCTCTCCAGAATTGCTTTCTCTCTTGCGGATGCTTAGGCAGACTCTGTGCAACTTTTTGCATGGTGCTTTTTTGGGACTCCTGTCTTTTTTTGGGACTCCTGTCTTTTGAAAGCCTTATCTTTCCTCATGATCCCCTTTTAGGTTGTGTAGGACAAATATTGAAACAGCAAACTACAAATGCCATCACAATTATGGATCACTGTTGATTAAATGACAGAGATTTTGTTAATCATTTAAGCTAATTTGAAGCTATCTTTTACTTGACTTACGTGGTTGTTGTTTGCTTCCGTGGGCACATAGACAAGTTGCACGTTTCCATTTAGATTAATTTTTTTTAAGCTTTTTTTTTCCTGTGATTTTCTGAGCTTAACTTTGCAAAAACTCTTGGTTCCCTCATTGTTTTATAAACAAGAAACTGACTCTGCAGAAATGGTGCATTTTTAAAATGTCTTTGGGAGAGCCTGTCTTTCCAAGATGCATGGTAGTAACTGGCCCCTCTATTTTGTCTGGTTTTTAGGCACAGTCCGTTTTTATTAGGGTTGTTGCTATCCCCCAGAGAGGAAGATACACAAAGGATTTAGACTGAAACAGCTGAATTTTATTGAAATATCTGTATCTTCCACATGTATTTGGGAAGGTGAAAAATTAGGATCTCAAATGAAAACTCACTAGTTTGGTAGAGGCTGAAGGCTCAGGCTAATTCATCCTGCTTATTTAGGCAGCTGAGAACCCCGTACCTCACTCTGTTCTGGCATCTACTTCCCCTTTGTGAAGGTAGGCCCAAATTTCTGGGACCTACAAATTAAGAAGCCTGAAGTGTACATGTGATGGGGACACTATGTCTGCTGAGTAATTTTAGTAGCAGCAAACACAAAGAAATAATCAGAGCTGCAGCTGAAGCAGGGAACTTCATGATTATCTCTGCATTTATTTATTAGGCTTCATCCTTTCTAACATCACAGGTCTTCCCTATAATTCAGATGATTTCTAGATCTGTTATAGGTTGCATGCTTATTTGCTCTCGTAATAGTTTATTTATTAACCATGTTTGCGAGCTTCCACTACTCTCTCGGTTAGGCCAAAGGTCTGTAGGTCACTGACCTTCATAACCTCCTGTTTTGGGGAGGAACTGCCATGCAAAAGGTCCCCTTCTTGCTTCTATGGCATGGTGGTTATGGTACCCACTCTGGCCGGGGCAGGAAGGAGTTTTGCCTGTGGCCCCGTGAGCCTGACTTTGCAAAATAAGTGCATTGCTGCTGGGCTTCCAAAGGACTCCACCGGGACCTCCATAATCTGAGCTGTGAGCGGAGCTCTGGGGGCTGAGCAGGTGGGGCACAGAGTAAAGACATCCGAGCGATTGGGCAGGCAGTTGGTCTTTGCAAGGGAAGCAGCACACACTTTAATTTTTTTTTTTTTTTAATTGTAGCTACAATTTGGGCAGCGGCATTGCTTCCATCGCGGTGAATGGCTCTTTCAGTGACGGCCGGTGGCACAGAGTCAAGGCTGTTCGGTAAGTGGCCACACTTCATCTGGGAGGCGTTTTGGAGCCACCCTGCCATTAAAGGTGCTGGCTGGTGTGTCTGGATGCTGGTCGGGTGTGAATCACTGCACTCTGTGCTCTCACATCGCTTAGGAGTTGAACTGTTAGCAGCTTGGCTGTTTCAGGATGATGTACACAAAGATTATTGTATTAGAGGTGACAGTGCCAACTCAGCACAGCTAAGGCAGGCTGCCAAAGTCACGCAGGGCTATTCTGGGGCTGTGACAGACATTCTATTAAACCCATACCATTTGGGTTAAGAGTATTTTTCTTTAATGTCTGCATTTTGAAATTCCCTAGTGAGCATTTTGTGGGCTGGCACAAGCACTGGAGCACGGACAGTGTATGCCTACTTTTTCTATTTGGAGGAGGTGCAGACATCTTGCAGTGTATATATAACTCATATTTATAACTCATTACCTCATGGGACGCAAGCGTGCCCAGCAGGGAAAGCACACGTTCCTCTCTTCATGAGATGTTGGTTCCCTGGAAATTGCAGGCTGAGGTTAGCACAACTTGTTACCAAATTCAAAGAGAACAGGAGCCCATCAAGTGGCTCTTCTGTCTATGCAGTTATTGACCGTATAGAAAATGGAAGTGGCCTAAAAGCTCTAGTAAGAAACAAACCTGCTTATAAGTATGTTTTATCTTAGGTTGCCTATTTCTTCCCTTCTGTTGAAACTTCTGGTGTTTACTTTTTATATTACATCTGATGTTTAAGAACACATCAGAACCTGTCCATCATTCCCTCTCAACCAGCTGTGCAATTTACTTCTTTCTCATTTTTTTCTCCTTTGCAAATGTGTCCCACACCCTTTGCCAGTCTCTGACATCTTAGTCCCTGGAAAGAAAACACCCTGAAAGGTCTGGATTGCCATAGGACACTGCTGACTGTGAGGGTCCCCAACATCAGTCCCAAGCCTTCGCCGTAAACCCTGCCAAGCACTGAGTTGCTGTGGTCTCCTGGCAAGGGGGAGATGCTGCTGCTCCTCCTCCCACCTGGTTGTAGGCTGGATGCATGAGAGTCGTTTATTTTTCATTTCAGGGATGGACAGTCTGGCAAAGTAACCTTGGACGATTATGGTGCCAGGACCGGTAAATCCCCTGGGAAGATGAGGCAGCTAAACATCAATGGAGATCTCTATGTAGGTGAGTGCTCACTGTTCACATTTATGGCCCAGATGCATTTTAGTGTTTGTAAGGTCGGCTGTAAGGCAGGGCATCCCAGCTCTGACCATCTCAAGGTGAAGGCTTCACACGGCAGCCTCTGGTCCTCCACAGCCTTTTTTTTTTTTTTGTGGGGAGGCTTCTCTGGGTGGGATGAGGGGGATGGGTATGAGAAGGGACCAGCACCATGGGGTGCTCCGTGGTACCCCCAGCAGGTACACAGAGAAACAGCGAGTGGCAGCTGCAAACCCTGCAGCTTAGTGGAAATTTGGGCACCAGCTTATTCAGCTTTTACTGATGCCACAATTTCTGCAATAAATAATTAGCATCCTAGTTTATTATCTCCTGCTTATCCCCTCCTGTACTTTCAAGTGCTTAGAGACTGTATGTAAAAAACCCACACGGTAACCAGTGAATTAAATTTCACTTCTGAGGTGGGCTAGGAAGGCTAATGGAGTTGTTGGGTGTGCAGTCTGCCAAGCAGGAGCAGACACTCTTGTTGGTGAAGAGTTTCTCATTGCGTCCTTTCTTCCAGGTGGCATGAAGGAAATAGCCCTGCACACGAACAGGCAGTACCTGCGGGGCCTGGTGGGCTGCATCTCCCACCTCACGCTTTCAACCGACTACCACATCTCGCTGGTGGAGGATGCCACCGACGGGAAGAACATCAACATGTGTGGGACCAAGTGACAAGAGAGGAATCCCAGTGCCGAAGACCCGTTGTGTGCTTGCGTGTGTGGCTGAGTGTGAGCTGGCTCCACAGCCCTCCATGGCCAGCCCATGTTCACCATCCAGGAAGGTGACAGAGCCAA